AGACTTCCATACACTGCTAATAAGGATATTTCCATGAAGGTCATTTCCTGAAGTTGTTACTGAATGGAATAAAAAAGGCTTTTAATGAAAGCCCTCAAGTGTCTGAATATTAAATGTTATTAAAATTAGGGGATGCCACTTCATTTGGACTTCTGACAGTTAATGGAGTTTTCCTCTGACAGGTACATTACTAGTAAAGTTATTATAAGGCAGTGAAGTCTGTCGTTATAATTGCTCATGAAACGCCAGAATAAAAGACTTCCAGAATCTGATTAATTTTGATTAAAGCATCAGACCAAAATTCAGACAATGTGACAATTTATTTGTTGTTGTTGTTTTTTTAAAAAAAATAAAAGCCCATACAGTTGCTAAAAAGCAGTCAGGGAATGTGAAAATGTGACAATACACCCTCCACATGACCAGTTTAAAATATTTACTATTTTAGGATTCAACAAACTATGCTGGATCTGAAAAAATAGAGTCTTCTCCATGAAAAATTCACTCCTGTAAATGAATTTTATACATCTTAACTGAGAAACTAGCCTCATCGAGTTCAGTGGAACTTACTTCCAGGTGTGCAGAGAATTGTGAATTTAGTCTTTAAGGGGCTACCGGACTCATTGTTGTTCTGATTACACAATGAAGCCATCCTTGAATTTATACTCCATCTGCAGCTTCATCAATTGTTTACCCCAAAGTTAAATATTCATCCAGTTGCTAAATCTATTACAGCAAGAGTGGGAGGATGGGTCCCCTCCAAATGCTGTCCAACTGGCTGTACTTATCCATGTTTACTTAGATGTAATTGCTACAGAGTTCATTACTTCTAAATAAATGTGTTTATGACTGCAGCCTAAGAGAGCAATCCTGAGCACAGTAAACTGGTGTAAATTATACTGGTTTAATTTAAACCAGGATAATGAACTTCCACCAACATAACCTGGCTGAGCCAGGACTTGGTTAACTGCACCAGACAACTCTAAATCCTGAGCTGCTCAGCCCGGCAGATCTGAGCTCAGGTAGAATTTGTTCCCCAATTTAAACACCCCCTTTCCTTTTCGATATATGTATAATTCACGCTTTAATTGAAATACAAGAACTTTTTGAATGACAAATGTAACAGGAGCCACACTCACAACCCATATTTAGTGGAAGTTCAACTAAAATCAATGGCTTCAATTTTCCTTGCACTGTTTTGTGAGGTACACATGTCATAGCTCCCTGTTTAATCATGCTGCTTTTTAAAAAATACAGTCAACTAGAAATACCTTAATCTACACCCCTAGTCTCTTTCGTTGTTCTGTAATTATGGGATGCATCTTAATTTATACCCAGGAGAACATTTTTACTAGCATTAAGGGGGGAGAGACCTATTTGCATGATTGCACATATAATAGTTTCACTTTATCCTATTCTCACCTTTCCAAGTTTCTAAGCTAGTGATATCAACCCCCCAAAAATGTAAAAGTTCTACTGCAGAAGAGTCCAAACAACAATGGGACTTATGGCATAAGTTTTCGTGAGCTACAGACCACCTCATCAGGTGCATGAAGAAAAATCCAGTCTTACAGGTGTGTATGTGTATCACTTGTGTGTGGGAAGTGTTTGGACAATGTATTAGCTTAAGCTAAGACTGCCACAACACCTGTTATCTGAATGCTTTGTAACTTGAGTTACGTATCATATTGACATGCACATTAAAACCTTTGGCAGAAACAGAGTTGGGAGTTTGAACCCTGCATCTATCAGTGATGGCCAGGACATTAATACAGCTACCCTTCTGGAAATTGTTACAAACAAGCAGCTTGCAAAAAAAGCCCAAGTGACTTGAGTTTGTGATCGAAAGATTAGCACAAGGCTCATTGGGTCTGACAGGCAGCGAAGGGTGTATTTTAAATTCTAATCACCTTTAATGCTGTGTCTCTATTCAAGTTGCACAGAGAAGAAAATGAATAACTATAGTTAAAATGAAGCTATCATAACATCAGCTTTCTGGAACAAGAGTTTCAGAACTTGTTCAAGAACTTTGCTCAGTGGTGGGGTACTGCCCCCCCCCCAAGGACTGAAAAAGAGTCCCACCAACTGTAATGTTTCAGAGGCTTCATGCTGATAGTTGGACGAGTCCATAGACATTGGAGGATGGGGCTGAAGACACCCTACACTTTTTCTCTCTCTTAAGAGAATCATCACCCCACATTATTTCAATCCAAAGAGGAAAGAAGCTGATGGCAATGGTGATCTTAACTTCGAATCAGACCATTTCACACTCTTTCTAACAAACAGGGAGTAAGAGTCCTCCCAAATCCTTCCCCGCCCCCCGTCCATTCACACACACACACACACACACACACACACACACACACACAGACATTCCTCCACCCACATATATTCATCCATCCATCCATCCATCCATCCATCCATCCATCCATCCATGTGGGGGACTAGACTGAATAGCCATTGTTCTTACTTGTTTAAACTAGAGGATGAAGATGTCCATGTGTTTCCCTATTGCCACCGCTGCTATGCAAGGGTTGCCTGTTCTTATGTTCTGTCTATAAGGCTAACTTTCTATCTACAGTGGTACCTTGGGTTACAGATGCTTCATGTTACAGATGCTTCAGGTTACAGTCTCCGCTAACCCAGAAATAGTACCTCGGGTTAAGAACTTTGCTTCAGGATGAGAACAGAAATCGCGTGGTGGCAGTGGGAGGCTCCATTAGCTAAAGCGGTGCTTCAGGTTAAGAACAGTTTCAGGTTAAGAACGGACCTCCGGAACAAATTAAGTTCTTAACCCAAGGTATCGCTATACTGGATTACACAGGCTCTCAGTGGAAGACTCATGGCCATGTGAGTCACCCTGTGCCAACAACTTTGGGGCCTTTGGGTTTTTATTTGGAAAGATTCTTGTGTGTCACATTGAATAATGTCACCTCTTTCTCTTTGTAAGCAATGCCATTAAAATGTTGGAACAGGCATCTTTATTGATTGCAAGGGAAAGAAGCCTAGATAAATTCATCTTTCATCTTCAGCACTGCAGCCTTGACAGAGGAACCAAACCAAACCAAACAAATAATTGGTCACTTAAATAATGAACTTCAATTTTGTGTTTTAAATTGAATTGTAACAAGTACATTTTTTTAACCCCTCCCCAAAATAAACACACACACTTACTTCATTGGTTTGGTTAATGCCAGGATGAAAGAACCAACCCAGGAGTTTCAGGTAAGCCACCCTGAATTATCTGAAGGAATATTAGCATATATGTGCCGTATGTCATGAATATCCAAATGATCCATTAGGATTCATGTAGAAAGAATGTCAAAAAAATTATTATTCTTATACAATAAAACCTTAAATCTTTATTAATCAACCTTTCTATTTCTGTCTACCTCCACCTCCCAAGTTGGTTCAACCATGTGAACAGGAGAGGAATGTTAGCTGAGAGGAAGATCATTGCATTTGGGAAACCCAGACAATTTTACCTGGGAAGGAGGCCCCTGAATACCCTTTCTTCATAGGAACTACCTTGGAGAATGGTGCAGTAGGGCAGTACAGCTGACTGTTAACCAGAAGGTTGGTCGTTCAAGCCCACCCAGGGATGGCTGTGGACAGGATTCCTGCATTGCAGGGGGCTGGACAATATGACCCTCATGGTCCTGGCCAACTCTACAATTCTATGATTCTGTGATCATCACCATCTAATCTAAACAGTTTACAAGTATAAAAACCCATCACACAAACATTAAAATATGAGCATTCATAATTAATATACACAGTAAAACAACCCCATTAAAATAAAGGTAAAATTAAAGTAAAATAAGGCAATCCTATCAAACACTGCAGTTATAACAGGAAGCTCAAGCTGAAACATTATGGAATGCCTGTGTAAGCAGGTGGATCTTTAAAAGCCAGCAGAATACCATTTGGCAGGAAATGCATTCCATAGCACCAGCCCACCTCCATGTCATCACAAGTCAGTCACCATTAGGCCATGGCAATGATCCCTTCAATGGGCAATGGCTTCCTTACTGGGCTCCATCTGAAGATTTTTGCACACTAGCATGGAAATTTGTGGTCCAACAAGATTTTGGTCCTAAGCTGTTCTGATACAAATGACAACCCATTTTGTTGGCAGGGAAAAACTGATAAGCTTTTTAATTCAATATAATATCATATGAAAATGAAGAAATACAATGAAATGCTTAAATATATTTATTTATCTCTTGGATGTGCTCTTTGGTACAGTTGTCTGCCTTCTTTGATTTTCTGAACTGATTGCTTTTAATGGTTTTTATGTTTTGAGATGTGTATTGGCTTGCATTTTTAATATTTGTAGGCCTGTTTGGATGAAAAGCAAGCTCTCAAGCATCACCGTAAAAGTGAGCACAAACTCAGAAGCCCCTCTCCACCAAGAAAGTTCCATTTACAAACTTTATTTATTGGCACTTCCATGTAGCTGTCATGCTTACAGTTGTTGCAGCAAGAGCTCTCTGACTCATCCTGTAGAACCGGGGGGGGGGGGGGGGAGGCAGTAGCAGGGGGTTAGTGGTCCAAATAGAGTCATAATGAAGCATATTCTCTTTCTGCATGCTGTGACACTTCAGCATCATTCTAGCTAATAAGCAATGCAATAAGCCAAGGACCTTGTGTTTCTTAGCTGATTCTATTTCTAGTGCAAAGAAGAAAGGCAAAACAGACAGCATTTGCTCTTTGTGGAATAGCATGACTGAGTGAGGATGCTTTTCCAAAACTCTCCATGTTACCTCTGAAATTGGTGTGTACATGTGTTTGATTGCCAAATATTCATGTTTTAAAAGAAATTGATCAGGGAAATTTGAGCTCAGATTATTTATTTATTGCATTTATGTCTCATCTTTCCTTCAAGGATCACAAGGCAGCCTACATAGTTCTGTCCATTCCCCCTTTATCCTCACAAAAACCCTGTGAGGTAGGTTAGACTGAGTGTGAGTGACTGGCTCAAGGTCATCCAGTAAGCCTCAAGGCTGAATAGAGGGATTTGAACCCTGGTCTTCCAAGTCCTAGTCTTACACACTAACCACTACACCACACTGCCTCTGAGAATTAATTTCACTAATGGATAATGAAACTCAATGGTTGTTGTTTCATATTATTATTTCATTTCGTTTCATATTACTGGGTAAAGAAAGCAATGGTTTAAGACAGAAGGATGGGAAGGAGCAAGGACCAAGACATGGCTCCCATCAGATATAAAAATAGTATTGTACAATATTTAAAAACTGGATCCACAGCTGCACACAAAATTCATGGACTTGTTTCTTTTTCAGGCCAGATAATTCTTTTCTGAGAAATTTCAGCTCAGTCCTATTGAAAATGTATTGAGGAAAGAAAAGAACAATATTGCAATCTAACCTTCTTTCACCCTGACCTGCTTTGCTGTATATGTATAGATTCAGCAGAAGTGTCCCACCCAGCTCTCCTGGCTGAGGTAGCCTCCCACCAGCTGCCACCAGAGTGGTGCTGGTGTCCCTCAGCCAGTGAGGCAGCACCCCTTCTGCCCACAGAACCAGTGGGTGGGAATACCATTGTCGGTGAGATGCCTGCAGGCTGGAGCTAAGCTGGCCAGGTTCCATTGGATTCCCAGTCTGTTTCACTACCATCATGCAATAGCATGGGACCCAAATCAGGTCTGATCGCTGTACCAGCTCTAGGCTTTATGGAGCAGCAGGTCCAGTACAACAGCTATAGTCCTCCTGCTTCCCTGGCTGCCATGAGCAGCATGGCTGTAGATGAGGCAGTGGACCTGCTACTCCATAAAGCCTCATTGGGGGCAAGTGCTTGGATTGTGCCCCTCTTAACTGCTAATTAGGGTTGCAATGCAATTTGAGCCATGTCTACTCAGATGTAAGTCCCAATGAATTCAATGGGGCTTCCTTCCAGTTAAGGGGGTATAGGATTGCAACATTTGTAGCTTTTCAGTTTATTTATTATATGTATGTATATCCTGCACTTGTGAGTTGTTTCTAGACCTCTCTCCCCAGAATACTAATAAGGACTATAGCTCTTTAGTTTAAAAAATACTGGGGCAGATGTTGGTTCCAGACCATTAGCTCCAATGATACTACAGAACTTGAAAAGCTTACTCAGCAGCTAGGTAACTCCCCAGCTTTATTAATTTAATCTAAATATTATTTATATTTATTAATTATCTTATTTTAACTGCTTGCACTCCACATTCTCCACTGAGATGGATCCAATGCAGCTGATAAAGGATAAAACCAGATAAAAATGTCAAATCATATTGCTAATTACTGATAAAATACAGTCTCCAAACACCAAATACAAAAGAAGTAAAGAATAATAATGACCCTATTTCCAACAGGAAATTCCACACAGCTGCAAGAGAAAAACAATTAATAACACAGAAAATAGCAACACTGTCAAAGCCACTGTGCAGAAATGGCTACAAAGTGCTATCTCAAAGCCTTCTGGAATACTCAGGTTTTATAACCTGATGCTGAAAGGAACGTTTAGTAACTCAATCCTGTATCTGCTCAATAGTATGTCCCACTGAGTTCAATGGGATTTATTCCCAGTTTGCTTTTACTTTGGAGATGCTAGTTAGTATGTGAAGGGGTTAAGGACCGCAGAGTTCTAAATTGCTACACTAGGCTCAGTGAGGTCACCTCCCGCTTCTCCTGAGAAGAAGGGAATAAGGCTTGTTTCCTGTTCCTGTTCCTGTTCCTCTCCCTCTCTCCCTCCCTCCCTCTCTCCCTCTCCACTGCAAGTGATGGAGGCAGACATGCCTCAACATACCTCTCTGCCTCAGATATGTGTCTGAGGCTGCCTTTGCTATACATTTCTATCCAAGAACATTTACCTGCATTCCTTATTGTTACATAGGATAATGCATGACTGTGACCTCGGATTAAGAAAAGCATTTTAAAACTTACTTCAGAGTGTTTCATTGCATGAGGGTAGTAAGGAGGTCAGCTGCCTCAAGCAGCTGGAAGGCACAGAGCTGTGGCTAGGTGATCTTACATCCCTGGTAGAACCATCCAGATTGCGTCCCCTAGCCACGAACAAATTAGCTCTTCTTTCTGCCTCTCCTCCAACCCCCTCCCTCCACCAAAACCATTTCTTATGAGGCAATAATCAATATTTATATTTATGGACATATTTTTAGCCAATTTTGTGCCCCCAAATCACCTGCGCCCCTAGCGGGGGCCCACCTCACCACCCCCTAGCTATGGCCCTGGGAAGGCATTAAAATAAGGTTTAATAACCCATTCCTATGCTTCTTTAATCTGCCTACTGGGTAGAGTTTTTAAAACTCTGCTACTGGGGCTCTTTATGTGCTAGCCCCACGGTTTTAAAACTGGCACCAGTCATTTTCTCCTTTGTTAGTTAACCCAAGCACACGAGTCTGTAGAGAATTAAATATAATTGATATACCCTCTTACTAAAACCCATCAAATAAAGCTCAGAATTATTGTATGAGTAGGAGAATATCTGATGCTGGAAGCATGGTAGTGGTGAAGAAATGGGATACTTGATTCTTTTCTTTCTAGCTATTTCCCTTCACTAAAATGCCACATATATTTCAGTTTTGATAAAGAATGTTACATGGGGAGCCAATTTTGGGCAGAACAATCGCCAATGGGGAAATGACTATGCCCCTATTGAGTCTACCACTGACTCTTCCACTTCTGATTTCAGTCTCCCAAGGCTGCTTTTCAGTTAAAGAGAAGAAAGGAAAAAATGCAGAGGTACCATTATATACATGTGCATGAAGGCAGAAGTTGGTGACCACAAATACAGGGTTTACCTCCTTTATTATTTTCTCTCTCTAACCGTGTGAAGGTTATTGGAAGCCAGGAAATTAAAACCTATATTGTCTCCAAAAGGAAACAATAAACAAATTTCAAGCCAGATCTTAGGCATGTCTACTAAGAAGTCCAATGGTGTTGCAGTCTAAGTCACAACTATGAATCAAATAATTGTGGAGTTGGAACGGATGCTGAGGATCTAGTCCAGTTGCCTGTGAACTAAATCATACATGACTGATGGCCATCCAACCTCTGCTTAAAAAACTCCAAGGAAGTATGAGAACTTAACAAGAGATGGTCACATAAGAAAGTGATGTATGGGAAATGTATGTTCTATGGCAGTCTTCCCCAACCTGGTGCCCCCTAGGTGTTTTTGGATTGCTACTCCCACCATTCCTGTCCTTTGTGGCCATGCTGGATGAGCCAGGGGTTCAATAACGCCTGGTGGGCACCAGTCCAGTGACAGCAGCTCTATGCTTTTGAAAACAGCCCAATTAAATGTATCTTGCCTGATAGCGGAATAAAACAATGCTCAATTTGTATTCCGATGGTACAGCAACTCAATAAAATGACACAGTAATATCACAAACCATTCCTTTACAGTTGTGCCTGTTGTATTTCTTTGCTTTGTGTACTTCTGCCCCTGAGACTCACTGATCTCAATGAGACTTACTCTCTAGTAACACAGCAATCCTAGCATGCCTACTCAGAAATAAGTCCTATTGCATCATAGAATCATAGAGGTGGAAGGTACTACCTTCCTCCCAGGTAAGTGGGTATAGGGTTGGTGGGAAGGTGTTATGGAGTTGGGGTCAGAAATGATCTGGAGGCATCAGTTAATAGTAAGAGGTAAGTTTTTGAAACATCACGTTCTTGAGATTACGGTGAAGAACTATTGAGGGGCAACACAATCACAGAGTTGAGATCAAGTGTGAGTAAGTGTAAACTGCTGCACTTTCTCCCCAAAAAAGAACAAGAACACTTAAGGGGAAAATAAATCCCAACTGCTATGGAAATCTAGAATAGCTGCAGTTGCCTACAAAAGAGGTCATGGGGCAGAGTAGAAAGCTCAGTAGAAATATTAGCACAGTCTGCTGCAGCAGTAAAATAATTGATTATCAAAAAGTACTAAGAAAGGGACTGCAAATAGAACACTGAGACCCATAGGGCTTGTTTGGACACAGTTTAGGGTCCTAATCTCTCTCCAGTGTTGCTACTTCTTCTCTGGTGTGACCTTGAGGGCTTTGGAATCCTCTATTTTTTTAAATTAATCAGAGCATGCTATGTTGTTAGAACCCAAATATTTGTTAATATAAACCTTGGTTTGAAAAATTGGCTTGTTTCAGCAAACCATAGTTAAGATTAAACACTGTTTCGGGTTCAGACACAACACAAAACTGCGCTTAATCTAAAATGGAAGTGGAAGCTTTGAACTGCTTCCTCGTGGTTGCATTGGAGGAGGAGGAGGAGGAGGAGAGGAGAAGCTGCAGCTTGTCCTATGGTTCAGCATTACATGTGAAACCCTCTCCTCCCCTTATGTAGTCCTGAGCAGCAACTTCTATGAAGGTGCCAAAATTGGAGAGTGGAAGAAAATGATTGAAAAGAAAGGGGGATTGGGGGAACTCACCTTTCCTCTAGTAGTGGCTTCTTTCTTTCTTTCTTTCTTTCTTTCTTTCTTTCTTTCTTTCTTTCTTTCTTTCTCATTCCCACCATCTGTGTGTTCCTCTTCTGGCAGCCACCATTCCTTTCCAGATCTCACACCCCACACCCTTATATTGTCATTCAATGGCCATCCTAGGAGGACAGCGTGGTATACCAAGTCATTTTGCTAACAATAGGAGCCCCAGTGTCCATTCCTACCTTTGACTGGGGCTGACAGTCCGAGTTTTAGTCCAAAGCATCTGAAGGGCACCAGCTTAGGTTTGACTGGTCTACACTGGTCTACTCTGACTGGCAGTGGTATTCCAAGGTCTTGCACATAATTCTCTCTGTTCCCTGCCTCCTCAGATCCTTTTTAACTGTGCTGAAGCGCCAGAAAGAAAACCTAGGGCTGTAGCTGTATCAATAATGTGCTCTTACCATTGAGCTACGGCTCCTTTTATGTAAGCTCATGTAGATGTAGGATTATGAAATCCACAATGTAGTGTTTTGTTTAGGAAAGAAGATATGTATGAATGCATGAAGGGCCTCATCATAAAGTTAATAATAGTCTCCCCCGCCAAGTATTATTGGGGACCCAGCAGTAGCTGATATTCAAATTCACAGTTGGAAATGCAAACACAATTTCTCTTTGCAGGTTTCACGTATGACTGCTTTACCCATAATGCCTCTAATTGTTTGAGAGAAGGTGGGACTAATGTTATTAGACACCTCAAGGTGCACCTCTGTGACTAAATGTTGCAATAGGAGTGCTCCTGTTCAGAGTTCCAGCCAATTAATGCCCCATTCCAGGACATTCCATTCCTTTCTCCCTGATTTTCCATTCCACTCTCAAAAGGATATTCTCCCTTCTATGTCGCTCTGTGTTCTGTGGCCACTGACCATGCTGAGTCCTCACTAGACTATTTTGGGTCTCTCCTTGCCCCCCCCCAATTTTGTGGCATTTCTGCAAACCTTGGGGTTCCCTCGAGCCAACTCATGTGCACGATAGTGCCATTTTGGCTACATAATTATTAGCACTCGGATAATGAGTTTGCTGTTAGTAGTATATATGATAGCTGAAAAAGGAGCTTGTGTGGTGTGTGTGTGTTGTGGACTTGATTGCTAGTTATTAAGAACCAAGGACAGAGGTAGTTATCTTCATTATACCCTTTTTGAAGGGTATCTGGCTGTCATGGTTGGAAAATGAATTATAGATTAGATAAACCTTTGGTCTGATCCAACAAGGCAATTTATAAATTATGTTCTTAAGAGCAACATTTTTAAAAGAAAAAACATTGTTCTAAGCAACATTCAACTCTAAAAATGTCTGAGGGCAAACTGGGGTGCAAAATCCCCTTTCTTTATTAAAAGAACCTTGTAAAGAGATGCAGAAAATGATGCAGAAAATCCCACCAACCTAGTGATATTATTTTCCTCAGGATTTTCAGTTCTTTCTTCCAGTGAAACTGACACTCTTGTCAACAAAATAAAATTGTCAGCTAATTGTCACCAGCCCCAAACCCTCTGAACTTTTTGGAGATGTTTACCAGCTAGAAATGCATTGATTTACGGTGTGCCAATCTGATGCTCATTTCAGATTGTTCCCAGAGATACTGTTTTCATTTCAAGCTCTCTTTTAGTTGTTGTTGTTTTGGGGTTTTTTTTTTTTTGCCTCTTTCTATCAAGTGAAGCTATAGCATCCTTTATCTTTTGGAGATCAGCAATTTCAATACTTGGTTGCATTGTAATTTCCTGCAATGCAACTTTCTTTTGAGCAGAGAGAGCAGGACAGAATGGATCCTTGCTTTTGTGTGTGTGAGACATGACAGAATCCAGAAAACAGATTCAGAAACAACCAGACAAACCTCTCCACTTTCAGTGACCAGTATCTAGGTGATGGATAAGATATTCCTAAATGACTCTGTGCTACAGTGCTTCCAAATGATTTGAGTGGACAACATGTAAACAAATCCATCTTAAGATACTTCAAGGACATGACGCTATAGAAACCTGCCTTGGTCTATTCCCCTTACCTTGGCTCTTTTATTGATCATTGTGTGACCCAACTAATTCAGTTCAAAGGTTCTAGGACAAAACGATTCATTTACTCCATTGGAAGTTGGAAGAGCTTAGAAAAACAGCTGCACAGTCATCCACGTACAGCCAGATTGACAATGACTTTCTGGTGCGATTGCACACCCAGAAACGAAACAAACTCTTTAGCTGCTATACAAGTCACCATTCCTTACGGGAAATTTCAGCGGACATACAATTCTTTGGGTTGGGGTCCCTTTTCATTTAAGTTCACTGAAAATCATTGTTGGCTGCAATTAAAAAGTACCTGGTGACCGTATGCCTTCCCATATGCTTATATTATAAAGTGTTGGTGCAAGCTAAGAGTCAGCTCCAGAACCTTTCCAGGGAGTTTAGTGGTAAATCATTTGCTGTGTCTGCAGAAATTTCCAGGTTCATTTCCCAGCATTTCCAGATAGAGCTGGGAGGGGAGGGGGGACACCCGTGCCTGAAACCATAGATAGTCTCTGCCAGTCAGTGTAGATAATACTGAGATAGATGGGAAGACTCCGTATAAGGTAGCTTCCTGTGTTCTTGTTTTCAGTGCCAAAGCAGCCCCCCTCAACCCTGAAGTGCTAGCTAAGAAAGGGGGACCTCTGCAGAGCACTTTTTCCTAGCTGCTTAATAACAGCCACCTTTAAAGATCACCTGCAATTAGGAGTGGGGTCTTTCAAAGCAGATAGCGCGGCTTATATCCAGCCTTTGTGCGCCATCATTTTGGAACTGAAGTGCTGCCTTTTATAGATTCCCCCACTCCAAACAATCCAAACCCCGTTCGAGCCTTTGTGGTTAGGCGAAATAAAAGGGCTAATTGTAACCTCCAGGCAAATGCGCCCACACACCGACACTCCGCTGCTCTGAAACACCAGGGCGGTCCGATTTACCTGTCTGTGAAATGGTAGCAACAAAAGTTCAAGAAAAAAGGAGAGGAGGGAGAGAATAAAAGACGGAGCGTTCGAGTACATTTCGCTTCAAGGCGCCCAAGCGATGCCTTCCCCCGCACCTCCCCCCGCCCCCGCTGACCCGAGGTGGGCAAAGGCGACGTGGAGTTTCAGGGACTTTTCGGGCAGATGCATTCAAACGACCCGAAGCCTTTTTCAGCGGGGAAGCAGCTGCCCACGGGCGCGCCGAAACGTGGCCGTCCTCGTTATCTGGGGAGGCTTTCCGAGTCTCCCAGCGCAGGTACGCGAGCTGAACAGGCGAAGCCCGACGTGGCGCGCCTGCAGGTGGCGACAAATGCCCTTGAAGCTCAGCGCTGTCCAGGGTGCTGAAATCCTGGCGCTCGCCAGCCGGCGCCGAAACGGACTTCGTCGCCTCTGCTGCCGCGAGGAAGGCGGGGAGCGGAGCAGGGATGCCCATTCGCCACCGCCTTCCTTGCAAAGCGCCCGATTCCAGCTAGGAAACGAGGCGGTTCGGGGGGGAGGGAAGGGGGATCCCTTCCCTAAGGTTCTCGCCAGTCACCCTCCGCTGGTTCAGCGGAGCTGCTTCCCCGGGCAAAGCGCTCCAGTTGAAACGAAGCGAAATGAGAGACGCGGAGCTCTGTTCAGCGGTTCTCGCTGCTTTCCCTCGTCAAGCCCCCGCCAGTTCCTCCGGGTCGCCTCCGGCCAAGACGAAGCTCATTCTCCACTGCATCCTGCCTCTTTGGCACTCCTGGCTGGGTAGACGTGAGGGCGCACCTACAGGGACTGGGTTTTCAAGGGGAGGGGGCTGACGCGCGGCGAACCAGTCCCAGCAACACCACTATAACTTTTGCTCTTTTTAACGATTCTCGCCTGCTGTTGGAGGGTTGCGATGGGGGGCGGGGAGCAGGAGGCGGTTTGCGTTGCGTGTAGGGGGTTCCCCTTCCTTTAGAGAACCTATCTGGTCTAGTTTCTGACATGTGTATGGATCATGTGTGAATGTGTGTTGGGGTGGGGAGAAGAGAATGTGTCCTATCGGTGCTCCCCCCCCCACTCCTTACTCCCCTATGGCTGCTATGGCACCCAATGAATGCTGCCCCAGATTCCATTGACGAAAAGGACCATCAGCACAGGGTCCCATGTCATCCGGCGAGAAGCACCCACTAACGCACACGAGGTGTCTATGTGGGGGCGTTGTGTGTGTGTGTGTGTGTATGGAGGGGGGGAGCGGAGAAGTGAAAGGGAGGGGCCGAGGGGAGGAGGAGGGAGGAAATAAACCCGAGAGGAGGAGAATTGGGGGGAGGGGGGCAACAAAATGCTGAAGGCGAGAGATCTCAGCAGTCCTTGGCAATGGAGAAGTGAAAAGAAGAAGGAGGGAAAGGAGGAGAGGAGAGGAGCCGGGGGCAGAACCAAAGGCTGAAAGAGGAGCAAAGAAGCCGACGGGGTGACAAGGAGAAGACGAAGGGGAGGGCTGGCAGCAGGCAGCGAGGACTACAAAAAGTGTGTGTGTGAGTGTGTGGACGGGGGAAGAGCGGCTGCAGAAAGAGAGCAGCAGCAGCAGCAGCAGCAGCGAGGGCTAGAGAAGCGGAGCAGAAGCGACGGAGAAGGCGGGAGAGGGCAGACAAGGGAGGAAGAAGAGAAGAAGTGGGGCAGAGAGAAAAGGGATATAAATTTATAAATAAATGGGAGCCAGGCAGAAGGAAATAAATAAATAAAGGAGACAAAGAAGTCGAGGAGGGAGCCCAAGAGGCAGCGGCAGGAAGAGGAGCAGCAGAGAGAGAGAGAGAGAGAGAGAGAGAGAGAGAGAGAGAGAGAAAGAGAGGACGGCGAGAGCGACGGGAGGCTGCGAGAAGCCAAGCTTAGCGAGTGAGTGACGGGGGGATGTGGCACGGAGGATAAGAAGCGGCGGGCAAGAGCCAGAGAGAAGCAGAGAGACTTTGAGAAGGAAGGGCGAGGAAGAGGAAGCAGGAGAGCCAGCCCAGCAGCAAGTGGGGGCCGCCGGAGGGTTGAGCAGCGGCGGTGGCAGCGGCGGGAGGGGGCAGTGGCAGCAGCAGCAGCAGCAGCAGCAGCAGCAGCAAGGAAGCTCGAGAGGAGGTGCTGGGCACTGCTCCCGGGAATGCCTAGCCGAGGAGGAACAGGAGGAGGAGGAGGAGGAACAGGAGATGCAGCCGGTGTGCTGGGACTGGCGCTAGCCCGAGGCGCTGCCTGGCTTTAGCCCGCCGAGGGGCGCGTGAGTCCCGCCAGCCGCCGCCGCCTCTCTCCGCCCGTCCCGTCGGGGGGCCATGGTGGTGCTGACCCTCTGGAAGCGCTGCTGCCCACCGCCGCTGCCGCCGCCGCCGCCGGAGTGAAGGCGCTGCCTCCTCGGCCCCCCTCGCCCCCCGCTCCTCCCTCCGGCCCCCTTCCGCCATGGAGATGCCCAACAGCACGACGGCGGCCAACGGCAGCCAGCCGACTAGCCCGGCGCCCGCGGCCACCCTGGGTTACCAGCTGGGCACGTCGGTGGTGCTGGGCGCGCTGATCTTGTTCGCCGTGGTGGGCAACGCGTGTGTCATCGCCGCCATCGCCCTGGAGCGCACCTTGCAGACTGTGGCGAACTACCTGATCGGCTCCCTGGCCGTCACGGACCTGATGGTGTCGGTGCTCGTGCTGCCCATGGCCGCCCTGTACCAGGTGCTGGGCAAGTGGACGCTGGGCCAGGTGACCTGCGACATCTTCAACTCCCTCGACGTGCTGTGCTGCACCTCGTCCATTCTGCACCTGTGCGCCATCGCCCTGGACCGCTACTGGGCCATCACGGACCCCATCGACTACGTCAACAAGCGGACGCCCCGTCGGGCCGCCGTCCTCATCAGCCTGACGTGGCTGATCGGCTTCCTCATCTCCATTCCGCCCATGCTGGGCTGGCGGACCCCAGAGGACAGGGCCGACCCCAACGCCTGCACCATCAGCAAGGACCCCGGCTACACCATCTACTCCACCTTCGGCGCCTTCTACATCCCGCTGCTGCTCATGCTGGTCCTCTACGGGCGCATCTTCAAGGCGGCGCGCTTCAGGATCCGCAAGACCGTCAAGAAAGCAGACAAGAAGCAGCAGCAGCACGAGGACTCGGAGAAGGTGGCCGACACCTGCCTGTCGGCCTCGCCGTCCAGCGGGGAGCCCAAGCGGAGCAACGGGGGTCCCCAGCAGCAGGCCAAAAGCTGGAAAAGCGCCGTCGAGCCCAAAGGGCCTGAGGGCCCGTGCGTCAATGGGGCCCTCCGGCTGGGAGAGGACGGCCCGGTGGCTGCCTTGGAAATCCTCGAGGTCAACCCGTCCAACTCCACCAAGAGCCACCTGCCCCTGCCCAACCACCATCACCATCATCACCACCATCACCACCACCACCACCACCCTCCCCAAGGCAGCTCGGGGGCGGCCACGCCGTCGACGGAGCGCAAGAACGAGCCCAAGAACGCAGAGGCCAAGCGCAAGATGGCCCTGGCCCGGGAGAGGAAGACGGTCAAGACTCTGGGCATCATCATGGGCACCTTCATCCTGTGCTGGCTGCCCTTCTTCATCGTGGCGCTGGTCTTGCCCTTGTGCGGCTCGGGCTGCTACATGCCGGACTGGCTGGGCGCCGTCATCAACTGGCTCGGCTACTCCAACTCGCTCCTCAACCCGGTCATCTATGCCTACTTCAACAAAGATTTCCAAAGTGCTTTTAAGAAGATCATCAAGTGCAAGTTTTGCACGCAGTGACTGGAGCGCAGGGAGGGACAGCACACACACAGAGAGACACGCTTTTGGGGGGGTGAAGTGGGGGGCTGGGAGAGGGGTAGGGTAGGCACTGGGTGTGTGGGTCTTATCCTCCACCTCACCTCTTCATGAACTCCCCTCCCCCCAGGCATCTCCTTCTACCATGGATGCTTTGCAGACATCAGATGCCCTGTAATGCCGTCGGGGCTGGGCCATCTCACCTCTTCCGCGCCATTTTCATTGGGCACTGATGGCTCTTTTATTTTCGGGAGAGGAGGAGAGGAGGGCGGGGAGCGTCGCCTGGACCCCCCCCCCTTTCCCCATTTGGGACGCTCGAATGGAGGCTGCCCTGTGCCTTGGGTCCCAATACAGACCGGGGCCCAAAGCCAACTGCTCTCGCCCAGCAGTGTTGCTCATCCGGCGCCCTCGGGGGTCCCTTTTCTGAACTCCTGCTTCAACACCGCGAGGCGGCTCAGGAAGGTAGGAGCGTCCCAGGGAAGCCTGACAGTCTCGTTTGTTGTTGCTCCCGGCCTCGACTCCTTCTCAGAGTTTCCTCCTTACTCCAAACTGTGCATAGAAACAATCCGATCTAGGGGAGCTGATCTAGGATTTTGAGGGTGTGTGTTTGCGTGTGGGGGTGGTAGGATGGGCTGCAGACCTGGAGACTAACCAACCGACCAACAAACAGGGTATCTGCCCGAATTGAAACCACACAATAAAACCATCCTATGCATAACAACGTAAATCTCGTCTGGTTTCTCTCCTTCGCTCGCTCCCCACACGCCCCCCCAAAAAACATCGGATTTATTTATTTTTATTATTTTAAAGAAGAAGCTAAAAAACTTCTTTGCTTCTTTTAAGGCCGAGTAAGTACGAACTCTGAAAGGGAGCGAAGCAACCAAGCCAACTGGAGCGGCTTCCAGGTGGTCGCTGGCTTGGGCAAAGTGCATTTCGGTGGGGTGGGAAAGGAGGGAGGGAGCCAAGCGGATCCGCAATCCTGTAAGTGACTTGCTAACTGATCGGTCTGTGCCATGTATTGTAGAGAGCGCTCTCCTGCTTATGTGTTGTCAGCCATTTCTGTGTCCAGGACTCCCGCGAAAGGGCAAGCCGATCCCACGCTACGCATGTTTACTCGGAAGTAAGTCCCACCGAGCTCAATGCTCCCAAGGAAGCCCGCGGTCCTTGGCACACTTGGGTGGGAGGGGAGCGGAGAGAAGAGCCATTGGTTGAGGCGAGATTTACTTCAAAGTAAAAACGTTCATCGGATCGGGCCGCCGTTAAGGCTTGAAGCCTGAAATGGTGGAAAACACACCTCTTACGAAAGGTTTAGCAGACGAGGAGATAGCTTTAATCGGTGTTTAAAGCGCTAGAGGCAAGCTTCCGGGCCACACTGAACTTCCTGCAGCAGACAAACCGATGCGGTAGGGTTAACTTGATACAGTATTTACATAGCTTTCGGTTGAGTCCAGCTAGATTTTACTCAGAACAGATCCGCTGAAATGAATGTTTGGGGTGCCCGTTATTTTCGGTGGGTTTACTCTGAGTAGAACAAGCATGGGATTCAACCCTTTATCAGGACAAATAAGTAGTGAAATGCTTAATGCAAGCAGCGTTCATTAGATCAAAATCCTTGATAAGGATGCAAATGAGAAAAAGTTGTTCCAGGGACAAAACAGCTTCTGGTGGATAGTGCCCAGAGGTGTCCTTTGGAAGCAGAATAAAGACAGTTCTGCATCACTGGAGTCTCCCACAATGCTTGGAAAAGTCAAAATAAAGAAGGCAGTCCTAGCAATTATAAATGATTAGCAAATGCTTACAACATTTGGTCCAGATAAATATATGGTCTCAGTTGAGTATTGCTCTTTCTTGTTTGGGATCAACACGTGAGACTTGGAACTCTTAATATTGCATCAATAGATGAACGTGATGCCCTTAACTTACCCTGCTGGCTTCAAGCCTCTAGACACTTACTCCCAAGTAGACACATTGTCAGCAGAGTAGGTGAATGAGTGAGCTGTATGCCCAGAGAGTGAGCAAAGAAGTTAAAACATTGCTCAAGAGATAGCAAAAGTCCATAAATCAAATGAAATGTGTAATATAATGCTATTACATATTATTTAAATGTCCCATCAGAGAAACGTGGCCACAGACTGAGTTTATTTGCATGCATGTCTGCATATAAAAAAGCCCTCATGTCTAATAAACTTTGCTGAAAGTTACAATGCAGCTACTGACTGTAGTTCACAAGCCCAAGGATGTGGCTTGTGGATTGCAGACTGTAGAAAACTGTCACTCTGCTTTTTTATTTTATTTGAAAAGAGCATTTTAATGTACCACTAAAGATTAGTAGGTGTAAAGGGCATATGTTAGCAGAGGCAGCAAGAGGTCTTCTAACTCCTCCCACAATGACTTTGACTCATATTGAATCCTTCATTTTAATCATCTCAGTTCTCTTGTTGAAGATTAATGAAGAGAGGCAAGTTTTACTCCCAAAGTTCTGTGCATTCCATCATTGATATGAATGGAACTTGTGCCAGAGCATGGGAAGTGCTCTCAAATCCTTCAGAGGAGTTTGCACAAAGGTATGTCTGGTGTCTTGTGCATCACACAGCTGTAAAAATAGCCATGCAGCTGTAAATAAATAAAACGACAGCTTAAACTCATGAGCAACCATGTTAGAGTGCCCAGTGCTTTAGTCCCTTGAGCACATGACTGAAAAATGCATTGTGTTGCTTCCAGGGAGTGAGATTTTCTGACAAGTCATAGACTGTAGAACATAATGGACATCAGCTGCAACAAGCCTAAGCACATATACAAAGAAGTAATGGGCATTTCTGTGTAAAACTTGCTTCCATGGGAAAGCTTTTGGAATTCTTCTTATGAAGACATAATAAACCTAGGGAAAAAAGTCTTGTCAGAATTCATTAGCAGTGCAGATTTTTAAAGGTTGAATTCATAAGGAGACTAGATTTGTGTTGGTTCAGTTACTGGGCTTCACCAAGAAAAACACACATGGATAACTACACAGCAGATATCTCCCTGAAGGGTAACTCTAGAAGACTAAGTTATAATAGAAACAAAATGTGAGTCATTCATTGTGAAGGACCCAGATATATTCTCTGAAAGCTATGCTTCTGTTACAGGGATCCAATATCCAATTTCCACTGCTTTCCAACTGAGCTATTGTTATTGGTAGGATCCCAATAGTGCATCCATTGATATTTTTATTATTGTGTAGAATGTGGCAGCGTGAATGTTGCAGGCACATATTGGAGGGAGTCTGTGACATTATCAGTCACAAGTGACACAACTCTTCCACATGGCTGCTTCAATTTCATGTACGTATAAGAAGTCCAATTTAGCAAATTATGATTATAATTAATCTTCCAGTTAGAGATGGGAAATATGCAGCCCTCTAGATATTGTTGGACTTTAACACCCATCAGCTTCAGCCAGTGTGGACAATGGTCAGGGATAAGGAGAGCTGGAGTCTGAAAGCCTCTGGAGGGCTGCAGGTTCCCCATCCTTCGTTTATATGTGGAGCATGGCAATATTTGTGTAGCTCTTAAAAAAATAAATCACTCCCAGAATTTCTCAGGACTAAAGCCTACATCCATATTTTTTAATATATAAAAAAGCAGCAATATTGTTGTTCCCCTAGAGCAAGATTATTATTTGCAGCAAAGCTACTTCAATCTTGACCCAATATCAAGCTATTACTTTTGAGTTAGTCCTTGCTGAACAATTTAACACAGGCTAAAATCCATATCTAGAATACAGTTTGACTGCTAATTATTTAAGTCTAAAATCCTAAAGACACTTACTAGGGAGTAAGTCTCACTGAACACAGTGGGACTTCCTTCCAAGTCAACATGCAGAAGAATGCACTTTTCCTTATGGGACTAAAAGTAACACCAAAGGCATATGAATGGGACATAATTTCAAGTGAAGTCTATCCATGTTTTAAGCATATTTACACAGAACTGAGTTCACTGAAATCTTATGGGGGCATGCTACTATGAAAGTGGATTGTTACTGCCTAAGAATCATATTTGCATGTAAGGTTTTAATAGCTATGGGTTGATGTACACATTACATCTTTATTGTATAGAGACAATTCCCAGGTAGTTAACAAAAGTGTTCTCCATCATTTCAAGGGTGCTTTTGCAGCCAGTGTGCTGATTGGGCAGTTGATGCACTTTACAGTAAAGGGATATTTAGGTTGTAGTGGATCTTGCACAATTTTGCAATTCTTTTTCTTCTTCTTTGGCGATCACTCGTAGCCGAGTAAGATTGTCTTCCATAAACACAGTTTTAACAATGAGTCCGTAAGTGACTGTGGAGGCCAATTCTGGATCCGCACGTCCTTCCACAGTGGGGACATTGGTTTCCGGGCAGGAGTTGATCATGGTGTGAATGAGCTAATGTTATATTTATACTAAATGCCCATATAATTGGAGCTGGAAGCAAAGTTGTGATTCAGGACCACTTATTCTTTTTATTCATTCATTTATTTAATAATAATAATAATAATAATAATAATAATAATAATAATAAATGTGCACCCCACCCCTGAAACTATTCCATTGTAACTATCCAACCTCCCGAAATTTCAACATCTCTTGCGATGGTTTGACCCCTTTCCATTTTAACAGTACAAATTCTACAATTACCTTCCATATCTCCTCAAAATCATTTCTCCTGCAAATGGGACCGCTTATTTTTGAACATGGCAGCTGAAGTCACTTTGAAGGCTCAGTGACAGTACCAGTTCAAGATATTTCTGCAAGGGCCAATACTTGAAAAAGAAGCCAATTCTCTCCTTCATCTATAACCTGCCTTCTCCGTGGTGCCACCTGAAGCAGGTTACTTCACCCTGTTGCATAGCAGGAGCCAGACTTGCTATGTGAATACCTTGACATTGCTCCAGAGCAACTGGCATGTAGGGTTTAGTCTTTTACATAAGTTACTTTGAAAAGATTTATACCCCACCATCTCCCAGG